CTCTGCTTTCATGCCCAAATTGAGCACTGTGGGGTGAGTCATTGCCGCTATTATTGCACATAGCTCACTAGGCTTTCCTAGTTTGAGCACTCTGGCATGGCTTAGACGATACCACAAATGTGGGATCGTTCGGGGTAATCATAACGGTTCTTCCCCATCCTAGCATCAGCACTGCACTGATGAGGCCCAGAAGGCCGAAACGGTACTGTTTGCAGTTATATATATATATATATATATATATATATATATATATATATATGTATATATATATATGATAAGTTCAGGAAAATGCACGAACTTAGGAACATTTCGTTATTAGTGGATACAAGCACCGTTTTGGAAATATTTCATACAATACGGGTGAGATGGAAGCTTATTTGAAGTTATGAACGCGATCATAATTAGCTGCATCTCTCTAGTTTTGCACATTTATCATGCTGATAATGGACGAAGAAACCTTACCAAAGACTTTCAACTCCGCCACTTTGGAAAATTCGGAGCCAAACTGGTTTATCACCCGACAACGGAAACTTCCATTTAAACCAGTGACGTCACTTATTTCAAGAGTGTTGTTGTAATTGTACAAGTCTTTGTCGATGACGTTGTTCTCTTTAAACCTGTACATAAAAAGAGCGTCGCATATTAGTATTACGCCAAATCTCATCAAGGTTAAAACTGTTTTCCTTCATATGTATGAGAAGTATTGGTCATCATATGTAGGAGAAGTATCGAAGGTGAACTTTGAACTCAGCTTTCCTTTATTTCCTCACAAAATAACTGTCAAGGGGTGCGCCATACATCATACATGAAGGGAATACTGAGCATTGAGTCTTACACAGCCATACATGATCACTACTAAGCTTACTTTATGGAAATTATGCTAACAGGTAACGCATTCATACTTCTCCTGCTCTTTGTAACCGAAAAGGTAGAGAAAGAAATATTTGGTGATAGAAAAATGTATGGACCTCTACTCAATTTTCTCAATAACATGGAGCAGTTATATACAGGCAATTGTTTTAGACGCCTGGAGGTAAAATAACTCAAACTATAATTCCAAAAATTAAAAGTTAAAACAATTTATCGAGGTAAAAAGAATATATTATTAGCCGATCAAAATGGAACAGATTTCACAATCAAGTTATAAGGAAGTTACTAGCTTACCATTCTATTTCCGGTGGAGGGTTTCCTTCCCCATCACAACAAAATGTAACACTTTGACCAGCTATGCGCATTTTACTCTTAGGATGAACTGTGACAGATGGTGGAACTGTATAAAAAGATATATCGTGCAAAATAAACTTTGCGTTTCTTCCTGTCCTAATTTTCATTTTTTGACTGCATTTTTAAATACTATCGCATATACGAACGACTCTTTTTCAATTATCTAATTCTGTTAAAAGAAGTGTTCACTCCTCTACCAAGTCCCTCCATATCTATAAGCTCCTCAACTATTCATTCATTAATTTGATCAGTCTTTCGGTCAGCCAGTAGTTTCATAGGTCGTAAAAGGTCTAAGCCAGTTATTCAGTGCGTCAGTAGCTCATTTGGTCAATAAGTCAGCAAGTCTGCTGGCATGTTTGTTATCTAGTTCATTAGTCTCCTCGGTAAGTCTTTACGTTCGCAAGCCCGTTTGTAAGTTGGTAAGTTTAAAAATCTGTACGTCAGTAAGTCTGTATTTTTGTACGTTAGTCGGTCTGTAACTGTTGGTGAGTCTTTACTACTCTAAATGATAAGTACAAAGGAGTCAGTTACTCGGTAATTCTGCAAGTTGAAAATTTTACAACTCCACAAGTAAAATATTCAATTGGTCAACTATTCCGCCTGCTAATCTACAACTGTGTCAGTCAGTAGGTCAGTAAGTCAATTCGTTAGTTCGTCATCAAGTCAGTAATCCTGTAAGTAATGAGGTCAGTTGAGTAAGTAAGTATTGAGGTCGGTGGTCACTAACAAGAGTGGGTAAGTAAGACTGCAACTCTTTGTCTCAGTAAGTCTGTGATTCAAATGCTTTATCAGCATGCTGGTTTGTCAATCAGAAGGTAAGACTTAGGTCTGTTAGTCAGTTAGTTATTGGTACTCTTATAACCGTCATTATCCAAGAGATTATAATCTCTTGCATTATCATCATCGCCATTACTATCGCTATCTGGTTACCATAATGATTGTAATTATCTGTAATTGTAATTAATTGTAATTATAAGGCTAACTGTTCTGTGAGTCAGTCAGTCAGTCATAGTTATATAGTTCATCAGTGAATGTAATACCCATCAGCCTGCATAATCATTCTATTCAGTCATAAAGGTCCATTTTTCAGGTAGAAGTACGCGTGGCCGAGGTCTAGACCCAACGGTCTAGGTCTAGACCCCTAAAGGTTGGAGGAAATGGGGAGGACCACAACACACAAAGAGGACGATGAACCCTTGAAAAGTGAGATGAACTAGTCTTAAACTAAGAGAAGACTATTTTTATATAAAGAGACTGGCTGCATGAGGAAAGGAAAGAATCCAGGTATATGAAAGCAAACATTGATGGCTTAGACGCCTACCTGCAAACTCTAATTTCACGATAACAGAAGCTATCGTGGGAGTAAGGACATTGGCTCTTTTCGTCACAGGGACAAACCCATGTTTTTCAAGTAACAGCTCTTGCTTATCCGCGCAGACACCCAGAGTCATGAAGTGTCCACTGGTGTTCGTCTTTGCAAGAATATTATACGGTGTCTCTGCCAATGATATGTTTGCCTCAGACAATGGTGCGTTGTCTATCGTCAAAACCCGACCAGTAAGCACGTGATGATCACATGTACATGCATCACAGGCTGCATTCAGTGTTCCAGTTGTGCAGTTTCTTGAACAGTCTAGAGTAGTTATGAGGTGAAAATTATTTCTTAATTGTGAATTAACTCAAAAATGAAAACCGTCCCACTTCTATTTTTTTTTAAGTCAAGAACATTGCCCTCGGCCAAAACGAAAGGCAGAGAAGGACAGAAACCTAAGTTGACAAAGAAAAACAAAAAATAACAGCCTACACTCTACGTGGTTGCCTTTTTATAAGAAAATGTAAAAAACGCGACATTCAGTATCAATCTGCATCAAATGTTTCTTCTCTCTTTAATTGCTGCGTGTCAACGTTAGCTTGAGAACAATGAAGGGGGCTTCTTCAACGCTTCTCTGGCTCAGCCCTCATATGAAGATGTCAAAACAAAAGAAACAAAAATTAATAAATATTCCATATTTTAGAATACTCCGAGCTGTTATGTATTCAGTACTTGCGTAAATTGTTACCAGCCTAAATAAACACTCTTAGTTAGTCAAAAGAAGTTGGTAGAAAGGTAACTAACAAGTGTTTGTTAAGTTTTGTTTGTTTTGTTTGACATCTTTACATAATCACTGAACCGGTAAAGCGTTTATAGGGTGCAATCTAGGGAGGGGCACATTATCGTATACCGAGCAAAACCTAATCCCACTCAAATTTCCAATAATTACTTTTGCCATCTTTTACAATGCTTAAAACATATTTTTTCACCAACAAATAACATCATTTTATTTCATCCCTGAGTTAGAACGAAATAAAGCAAATAAAATCAAACCTAGAGAAGAAAAAGTGCGATCTTGATGATACGATTGATAGAAAGACCACGAGACTGAATATTGTCTAGCCAATTTTTTACGATCCTGGTAATAGATTCCCCACCGCATAGCAGGTTGCGGGGCTTAGCTTCCAAATTTTCGTTTTGAGGAAGCAACCGGTGTTCCCCCCTGTTGATCTGCCACCTAAAGAAAAATTTGTATGGAAATCTTCACAATCTACATTAAAGGTAATCAGTCAGTAATTGTCCGACCTGATCTTAAATTTAGACAAGCTTTAATTTTAAGCAAAATAATGTCGAAACTTTAAGAGGACATAATTACCTGGGCAGTTCCATTCTGCACATGACCAAGTCTGCGAGGATTTTCCAGCACAGGAGATGGGAGCAAAGACTGCCCCCTTATTAAGGGCCACACATGTTCTGTTTCGATATCGTGAACCAGTACCACATGTTTTGGTGCAATCACTCCACGAGCTCCATCGAGACCACTTAGATTCTGAAATTGATATAGTTTTAGGTCGCACTCAGAGAATGGGTAAAAGGATGACAGTTCAATGTTATTCAAAGTTATTAGTGTTAATCATATCCTTAATCAACACAGGAATATGTAAGTTCAGTTTAAATTGAGTCTTTTTCTCGACGCAGCCGCATTTTGTACAGCTTATGATAGTTTCGGAGAGAGAAGGTCAAAAGGGAATGTAAGAACCAAGACAAAACATCAATTTCACTTCAAAAGATGTACGCGCAAGAGTGACCTGATCAACAAGGATTTTTTTGCGTGTTGTTGTGAGACAAGTAAGAGACTTCAATGTCGTAACTAATGGACTTTATTTGCGTGACTGACGCAAGTATATCATCATCAATCAGATATATATATATATATATTGATTTCATATTTTCACGAGTGGGTGTACTTCAGCAAATATCGATCCGGGCCTCTTAATTTCTCAATCGTGTGTGTTCTTGAACAGGAATCACAAGTAAAAATGGGCTCCCTTTGCATTTTCACGATCGTTTCCCTCACTCAAAATAATAAAGAATTTCAACTCTCACCTTTGTTGGGCAAAAGATTTGCGATAACTGTCAAGCCAGCCACACTGCTCATTGGGCGTACTTTGCTCATCGATGATATAATTGGAGAAACAATCGTTCTCTTTATATTTGTGCTTAATGACACAATGCTTGATAGTGAGTATGTCTGAAGTTGCTCAGAGACAGCCGAAGTAGCTTTTGGTGAAGGCACTGTCTTCGACGATATCAGGGATGAGGTGGCAGCTACAAAGAAATTTGAATATAAAGCGCAATCCTTCGAACTCTAATTTATTACCTTCTCCGCGTATGGCAGGGGAACCGCAACAGCGGGTAGCCAGTTACTGCGGGCCCTGTAATACCCACCCATCGCATCCCAGGGGAGGACATCCACCAAACAGTAATCTCGTAGGTGGGAAATTAACGTCTCCTACCCTTAACCCTGCAGGAGACGGGGCCTACGGTTTATTCGTCCTTATCCGAGGAGAGTAGAATATCTATCCATTTCTTGATATCATGGAAGGTAGCACATTCTCCTAAGTTTTTTTAATGCCCTGAGTGTTGGTCCGGCCGGGACTTGAACCCTCGGTCTTCCGCACAACAGTCCGGCGCTCTACCAATTGAGCTAACCAGGAGGCGGGTCTTTGGCATCCTGTATCTCCTCACTCAGCGAAATTTAAACAAGACACGAACTATAATGGCAGACATAGTATTCACCAATAATAACATAAGTTGCAGATTGAGTTCCAGGCAAAAGTCAACTTAACTGAGTATGAATTACCTTAACGGATATTATAGGACTAGTTTTAGCTGTATATACTTCGATAAGACAACACCAAACGATTATTTCAATCTCTGCAATCGTTCTGCCATATTCCGAGGCACTTGAGCCATATTTCGAGGCACTTGAGCTAGCTCACGACATACTGCCATCTTGTTTAAGAACAAAATAGTATATCTATTCACTTGAATTTGTCGATGCTTTTGTAAGAAAATGCCCTACGAAAGCAAAATGCATCTTTTAAAGAAAATTTCCACCAACAACAATGTTTAAGTTCAAATTTTGCGAGGAGATTCAGCTAAAGAATTTTATATGGTGTCTATACCATACGGTAGAACAGCCTACTCCTTAGTCACAGGAGTTTTCATTTATAGAGCAGCTAATAAATTCGTTGTCAATTCCAGCTGATTCATATGCCATATGGCCACGAGAGGTTACTGGAATCGCTCCTTGGAATGATTTGAAAGTAATTTCTGACCGAAAGTAAAATTATGGATCTTTGTTGCGCGAACTGATTAGACTTGTGGGCAAAAATTTATGGTCTGGTTACTAGACTTGAGATATCGAACAACTCTAGCAGTTTCAGGTATTAAAAACTTGGCTCAGTACTGTGGAGATAATGGTAAAACTGTATCACTTGGCAACGATTATCTAAACTCAATAGACAAACCTGATTTCTTCTTTGCTGTAGCATCACTGGCCATGGAAGGTCGACCCTGTGACGCCACTTCGTGAACCGAAGTAGAACCTTCGATACTCGGTGAAATGAAGCCTTCTTGTTTCGATGCCAAAGTGTTGAAAATGGACTCTAAAATCAAAATTATAGTAATGATGGTTAGTGATGATGATAAAAAGAAGAACAAAAATAATGATAATAGTCATATCAGAACAATAATTTGCCTTATACCCTAAAAATGTCGTAAATTCAGCACCGCTAAACCAATGACACTAACCTTGGAAAATAGTCGTTCGAGTTGTTGAACCAACAACAACTTCGGATATAGTTCTGCTGTCTAATTTTTTAGCGTTCGGTTGCTCTTGTATATTTTCTATGAAATAAAGTTGGAATTTTTTTTATTACTCTCTCTTTTTGTACTGTGAAGAAGTGGAATATGGCGATCAATAATAATTAGTGAGCTTAGTAATCAGTAAAGGTTTGAGCCATTTCTGCTATCAGTTGTCCTTTGTTTTTGTATCTTAAAGCTGAATTGAGAGTAACAATCACAGTTTGGGTTTTTACCAACAACAAATTAAAAAAAGTTATTGTTTATGCTTTCCATTTGGCTGATTACTGGTTTGTTTGATAGGTTGGGATTTGGAGATAAGTCCTTTCAAAGGATTTTTTAACAGTAACACAAAGGACGCACACGCATAGTTTAGAAGAGAATTAAGTTATCTTTCAAGGTAGTGGGCAGATCCAAGATGGCAAATCAAAGAGTCTGCTACAGAGTATCAGTGCTAAAAGGTCTTTAAGCCGATTAATCACCCAAGTTAACGTTAATTAACCTGGAACGAAATGATTGCTGCACCAAGATCCTTCGTATTAGACAGCCGACCGCAAGAAGATTGGATTTCTTTGTAATGAATATTAGCAATGAAAAGATAACATAACTCACCGTTGGAGCTTTTATTTTTCCCTTTGGCTTTCATATAAATGGGAATCAACGTACCAAGAAGGACTCCCACCACTACTAGAGTAATAGCAACCAGAATTGCTTTGAGCAAACGCCTATCTGGACTGGACGATTTTGAAACCGTCACAATATATTTATTCCTTTGCGGATTTCTGTTCCCCGCTGGCTTCATTTCCTTCTGTGTTTCTTCAAGCGGAAGAGATATATAGAATAATGATTATCAGTGGAGTTAATTATCTGGTCAAATTCGGGAGCTCAAGCGAGTGAAGTGTATCGTC